TAATCAAGGAACTACCAAGGAGAAAACCACACCTCCACCAACACTGGCAGGGCAAGCTACTCTATATAAACAGGGAGCAGACCCCACACTCCCTTGCACTGATGATGTTACCTAGTCAGGTAATGAAATGTCTGCAATCAAACAACCAAGATCAGAAAGCACCAAGTACTCCACAGTTCAACCCTGAGTTACGTATATTCTCTTCTATTGAAAAGATGTTATGGAAGAGGAACAAGTTCTACCTGATGAGTACGTGACTGAGTTGAAAGTAGATTTACAAATGACAGGTTACAAGAATGACATAGAAAAAGACGTTACACGGGACATACAAAAGAAACTGGCTGATGTCTTAATAATTTAAAGGGATATACAAACAATAAACCAAGAGAGTGACCTGGATAATTTTCCTATATTGGATTTATAAATAAAATTTTATAAATAAAATTTTCAATAAAATTTTCAATAAAAATTCCTATATTGGACTTTTGCTGGCACCAGGATTGAAATTACAAGGCTTTAAGGATTTGCTTAGAGATAAGAGATGGGACATGGGAAGAAGAGATCGTTTGTTGTATTATAAGAGGAGGTGATAAGTTACTATAATAGTTTATACTTGTGCTGAAGGTGGGAAGTCACTTCTTTTTAATTTCCTTTCTTTGCTATATTCTTACTTTTCTTTCTTTTCTATTTCTATTTCTATTTCTCTTTCTTACTTTTTTCTTTCTTCTCTGCACCTTCTACTTTTTAAAATTCTTTTATCTTTTCAGTTGGCATTAGTTTTTACTGTTGTCATTAAAATCTTTAATAAAATTACTATTAAAAAAGAAAAGCCCCAAATCTTAATCATACCATAATAATCAAAACTACTTACAGCTTAATTTTAATACAAGTTGCATTTTAATTTGCATTCTAGTACAACGAAGGATCAACTAACATTTTGCCTCTGAAAATAGCCCTTTAGGAAACACATTTGTTTCTCAGCAACTTCTTCTTCATGAAATCATATAACTGGAGCACGGTTACTATGAATTTTTAAAGCCCTCCCTGATGAATCCCATTCAAACATTTGATCATCAAAGACAAATTTAGATCTTTGCTGATGGCATTGGGATCATCAGACACAATGCTGAAGGAGCCAAGCAGTGTCTTAATGAGCTCAATATGGCGACTAGTGCAGTCAGCCTGAAAATCAATTGGAAAAAAACCTAAGTACTTGTGAAACCTAGACCATGCAATGAAACTAGATGGTATGGGATGTTAATTCCTACATCTACCTCGGCCAGGAAATCAACACCATGGACTAACTGACCAAGACACATCACACCCAAAAACTGTGGCATGGCTCAGCTTGCTACAACAGATGGGAAACACCAGGGTGGGAGTGGACGTCTTCAATACCAGTGCTGACCTACAACTGCAAAGTGTGGAACCCCAGAAAATCAAAAGCAAAGTGGCTTTGAGTTATGTAGCGTGCAACGGAGAAGGAGTGCTACAAATCTCACTCAGAGATTTAATCCAAAATGTAGAAATGTGTTGCAAAACCAGCCTTAAAGACATAATCAAAGTAGCCAGAAACGCAAATACAAATAGGCAAGGCACGTTGTATTCCGGCCTGGCTACAGATAGGCCCAAAAAACATTCTGGTGGTCATATAACATTGTATGTCAACAAGGTCAATCTCTTATAAAACGGGGAGATGAAATATTTAAAAACCTTGGGCCCAGCTGGAACATTCTAGCAATGGACAGTACACAGTGTAAGCATCTATTGGCATCATTGCTTCAGGCAGTGAACCTATTTGAATGAATATGATGACTGAAGTAATTAAATGGAATTAGAAAACAGAGTAAGCCCCCACAGACATTTAATTTAGGGTACACTGAGTTCCGTAAGACAATTTCCCATTAGGACATTCACAAACATGGATCAGCAGAACGCGCAAAATAATCTGCATGTATTTGTCTCAAGCTTTGATAAATAAAATTTGATAAATAAAGCAGATTTTCACTTTTACCTCCCAATAACACCATAAAAGTTGAAGAACCAAGGTTAAAAGAAGTTGATGGCTAAACTACTGGTGGGAAAATTGTGGAAAGTTTTGGTATTTTACCATTTTGTTGAAGCTAGTATTTTCTTTCCAGCACTAACTTTTCCTCACAATATTGAAAACAAAGTGAACAATCCATCCTCAGCAAAATAACTCATTCCACAGCCCACTCCGTGCAAGCTGGATATTTGATTCTGACCATGTTTTGAAGACAAGCTAACTATGGCTTATGAGTTGTCAGGTTTTTTTCCCCCCGCACTCAAGCATGACCGATTCTGTGGCGGCTGCCTGGACTAGTCCCTGTAGTTTTCTTGGCAACATTTTCAGAAGTAGTTTGCCATTGCCTGCTTCTTAGGGCTGAGAGAGAGTGAATGGCCCAAGGTTACACAGCCAGGCAGGACTAGAACTCACAGCCTCCCAGTTTCTAGCCTGGGTTGCCTTAACCACTACACCAAACTGGCTCTCTATGGAATAAATTATCTGATTAATTGTAAGTGGTTCTCTGTGGTGTCTCAAGTAGGTATAAAGTTATAATGTACGAAGCACATTGAACGTGAAATATCTTAAGAATGAAACACCCTGATTCTAATTCAAATAGCTACTCTAATCTTGCTGAAAGTATTCAACTGTTTTGAGCTCTAATCTGGAATGATTAGAACACCCCCAGAATCAGAAGAACCTGTTCCAGACTCAAAGCAATTGTTTCACACTTACTTTGAATACAAGACTTCTGCACAACCTTATATAAAATGAGTGTATCATATATAAGGAAGTTTAATGTATCATAAAGAAAACACAGAGAAAAGAAACTAACAATACTTTGCAGATTAAGGATGGCAGCTGTTGATTTAGGACAGGGACAAATAATGGCTGTGACCTTGTTAACTAAAAACGCCACTGCATTTGAATTTTGATTTACAAAATAATGGGTATCTGCAGGATTGTTTGCAGGAAGTGACAGCAGCTGCCATTTTGCACGCATGCAAGCAGGATGGTTGCCAGTTTGCCTCCCACTGGAAATTCTTCCCCTCTGCGGTTGGGTAGTAGCTTCTGGCCCAGGGAAATCCTGTTGCAATGCTTAAGTGGGAGAAGAAGGTCTTGAGTTAGGGTTAGCCCCGACCATAAGGCCATTCATAAGCTTCACATATCACTTCACTTTCACAAGTCATTCAGGAACGTGTGGAAAACAGTTCTTCCTTGGTGAGTGCCTCCAAGGAGCTGGTGTCCCTGCTCAAGTAAGACTATTACCTTTTTATTAATCTCCTAAATCAGGGATGGGGCAATTATTCATCAATGTCAAAATTCAAGTGAGAAATGTTCTGACAAAACAACCAAACAAACTTTTTGGAGAAATTCTAGTTTTGGCTCCTATTTATTTTAGCTGGATGATGCAACAGTCACCTCCCTCTTTTTATTTAAAAGCTGAGACAAAAATGGATGAACTCAATGAATAAGAAGTTTAGCCAAATCTTTTACAAATTCCAGGTGACTAGCTGGTTTTGTAACACAAAGTTATTCTACTGATTTGTCAGAATAGAGGCTTATTATTGAGCAATACTTATTTCTTACGTAATGTATTTGTTGTACAATATAAAGGCACGTTCGATGTTGCCTTCTTCAGAATAAATAGTTGCCATCCGGATAATTTCAACACCTGAACGGTAGTATCTTCGTGGTGGAATATCTTCATTCACCTCCACACTGCTCCCCATTTGAATAAGACCTCTGACCCGGTCTTCTGGGGGCAGGCTGACATCAGCATGGTCAGGCATATAGGTTCAATCTGTAAGAAGTGATATTATCTGAATGACATCATTTGTATCGAAGTAAGTTATTTATTCCATATTTTTATTTATTTATGCCATTTCTATAGCTGCCCATCTCAATCCAAGTGACTCTGGGTGGCGAACAATTTCAATAATTAAAACCATTAAAACCATTACAAATCATACATATAGGCAGCAGAGAATTATCATAAAAATTACATAAAAATCAACAGTGCAACCAGGAAACGGGGCCCTTTACACTTTTGGGACCCCAGGTTTGGGCACATAGCCAGGCTTTTAAAGTCTTATAAAAGTCTAGCAGGGTCGGGGCCATCCTGAGCTCCAAAGGAAGAATGTTCCAAAAGGCAGGGGCTACTGCTGAAAAGGCACGCCTTCTGGTGCCCACCAGCCGACATTCTTTGGCCAATGGGATCTGCAGCACCCCCAATCTACTAGAACAAATTGGACAGGTAGAAACTATTGAAAGAAGGCAATCCCTTAGGTAACCTGGTCCCAAGCCATGCAGGGCTATAAAGGTGACAACCAGCACCTTGAATTGCACCTGGAAACACACTGGTAACCAATGCAGCTCCCATAGTAGTGATGTTACATGTGCTGTATATCTGGCACCATTTACTACCCATGCAGCTGCATTTTACACCAACTGAAGTTTCCGAACACTCTTCAAGGGCAGCCCAATGTAGAGCGTGGGGCAGTAATCTAAATGGGAGGTAACAAGTGCATGAGTGACTGTGAGCAGAGCCTCCCAGTCCAGGAATGGGCGCAGCTGGCATACAACCTGAAGGTGTGCAAAGGTCCTCTCAGCCATGGCTGCCACCTGCTCTTTGAGCAGGAGCCACGAGTCCAAGAGGACCCTGAGATTGCGCACTGGCTCTGTCTGGGGCAGTGCCACCCCATCCAATACCAAAGATGGGAAAACCCTGTCGCCAGGAGGACCAAATACCCAAAGCCACTCTGTCCTGCTTGGACTGAGCCGGAGCCTGTTGTGCCGCATCCAGGCCCGCACAGCCTCCAGACGCTGGGACAGGACCTCCACGGCATCACTCAATGGGCCTGGGGTGGAGATATATAACTGGGTATCATCTGCATATTGATGGTACCTCGTCCCAAACTGTAGGATCACCTCACCCAGTGGCTTATACGTATACTCCAGTTTTCTTAGATGTGCAAGTATAACGTTGAATAACCAAGGAATAATAAGGAAAACTTATATCCGAAATCAAAGAGGCTCAAAGCACTAGCTTTACACAGTCTTTTTCAAAACACATGACATCAAGGAATGTTTTTCCCTATCAGCCTTGTCTCTGGAAGCAGGAAATGGCAACCTACACCCTCCTGCTATTAAAGCAATTTCAGTGAGAAAACTTTAGCTGAAGCTTCCTTTCAGCGCACAGATGCAGAGTATAGTCAGATAATTCTACAAACCACAGAGGCAGGCAACTGTCTTGTTCATGAGATCTGCTCCTAGGAATACAGTCCAGGGTGACTTTCCTGCAACATTTTAGTTGCAAAATTTGCCCCTTCCCAAAGAATTTTGTTTCAAGGACTGCTAAATGGATCTTGGGCCGTTATACTTTGTACAAGCATAGATCCTTTTCATACTTTCATACTTCAAACTTTAGGCCTTAAGGAGATCTAAAGAAAGTTCTCCTCCTTAGGAAGCTGTGGAAAAAGGACTTCATCCTGCCTATTTCATTCCGGCTCTGATTAAGGATACCACATTCGACTTGGGTTTGCAGAAGACACGCGTGTAAGTCTCCCGTTTCGTGTGAATCCAGCCCGTGTAGTTAGTTGTGGTTCAGTACGTTACGGGCCCCCCAAAACACTGTTAATTGAGCAAATCGTGGTTTACACCGCCGGCTGAGCGTTCTTCGCTCAGAGGACTCGGGCGGGAAGGAGCCGCGTCCCTCCGGCCTCCCCTCGAGGGAAACTCCTCCTCCCCAGGAGCCCGTCGCCCAGGCCCCCTTCGCCAGACCGGGACGGGACGGGCCGAGGCGCAAGAGCCCCTCGGCGCCCGCCCGGCTCGCCGGCCCCG